CTATGCATAGAAAAGCTCTATAAAGGCACAAAAAATGAATTTAATAGTCACCTTTTGTTTGGTACTTTGATTAAATGCTAAATTTCTTTACAACCCTAAATGAATATAAATTAAAATAAATCATGGCCCAATTTATATACTGGAATTATTTGAGGCCTCTTAGAAATGCTGTTAGAAAAATATCTGTTGGTTAAACCAATTTGCATCTTTAAAAATCATGATGTTTTCCATATTAAAAAAAACAATGGAGGTAAATTCTTCAATTGCTCTTCAGTTATTAACAATTACATCTGTTGATGGCCCATTGCCCTGGGTCTTCAGATGTCAAGGTGATTCCCTGAATCCCGACTGTGGCACCATAGAGAAGAGAGAATGAATCCAGGCCCCTGGAAGGGCAGCCTTGACACAGGTTTGGATGGAAATTGTAAAGGAGTTTCCAGTCTCTGTGTCCAGTGCTCCAAACTGCAGTTACAGAACTAAAATATCTCACATGTGACCTGTCTCCGTTTGTAGTTCATGTCATTTATGTGGCCTTTCATCGATATATGTATTTAGATATTACCTTATTCCAGAATGATCTTTAGAAGATCCAGGACCAGACATGCTGGGTTAAAAGTCATGTGTCTTGGTAACTGAGATATAAAAAAGGAGAGGAGTTTGTTAAAAAAGCTGCCCTCTGTGACTCTTACAAAGGGCTGATTGAAAATCAGCTTCAGGTAGCCATGGAGCAAGTGGTTTTGAGTATTTAGACAAGACAGGTGGGTTTACAGTTTTCATCCACAAACAAAATTATGATATTTACACCTTTGTTGAGAATACAGATTTATGATCAGAAACAAATCCATGCTTTTATGATCAATTGATCTTCGACAAGGGTACCAAGAACACACAGTGGGGAAAATGTCTTCATTACGTAGCATTGGAAAAACTATAAAGCCACATGCAGCAGAATGGAATTGGACTCTTATTTCACACTATATACAAAAATCAACTAAAAATGAATTAAAGAATTAAATGTGAGACCTGAAACTGGATAAATATTTGCCTTGAGTGTTTTTCAGAGAAATAGCAAATGTATTCATTTCTGTAAATTAGGAAGAACACAGTTTATTTAATGTGCTACAGAAACAACTGTATTCCCAGGAAAAATCATGCAGTATTTTAGAAATGTTTTTGGCTTTTGATTAGGGGGTGACTTTATACTTTTAAGTAGGTTTCTGAAAGAAGAGAATGTCTTTCAAAGCTGCATCCCAGAATTACATTCTCAGTAACAGTGTAACGAAGCCAAAGATAGCTTTTTATTCTCAAGAAACTCAAAGCTTTATTTTCAGGATGCCATGTGAAGTTTTTTATTTGTTAAGGTAGCAAGTACTTGTGGCTTTGTTGTGATGGAAATACAATTTATTTCATAATTATTCACATTGTTTTCAATTCTGCACCTGAAAAAAGGTAAAATATCTTCTGAGATGTTTAATCAGTTTTATCCTTTTGTATGATTCATTTATGTGTTTGGGCTTAGACATTGATTACAAGTGAGGAAATCACTTGGAGAATTCTTTCACTGGGTGATAGAGATGAGTAATTTAATCTTAGAAAAAAACGAATGGATGGAGTTGTCAGTATTGTTTCTTTTTTCTCAATGCTGTGATGTGCATTTTCTCACATATTGGTGTTTCTAAAATTAGGGAAGATCTTACTATTAACGTGTATGTTTAAAGTTGTATTTTTGTCTCCCAGCAGCACCTTTTGCATTATTGGTGCATTTACAATCGCTTGCATTTTAGAACTGAGCCATCACTGCAGATTGCTCTCGGGTTCACCCAAGTAGTGGAGCTCATCTACAGGAAACACAGGAGATGCAAGAGTTCTTAACATTGGGTCCTTTTTTTTTTCTTTTAAATTTTCAGTGGATCTAGTGTGGTGCCTTCGAAGTAAATTGTTCTGTAAATGCGAGTTAAATGACGAATTTACAAACACCAGAAATCCAGACATCAATTTAGGATAGTCATTTGAATAGACTATAGCTGTATCTGAGCTAATCGGTAAGAGGGCAAACGAAACAATTTGATGCTGTCCTTGCAGGGTGAAGGAATAAAGGGGTCATAGCCACAGGCTGATCCTAACCCGAGGTGAGCGAGGCCACCTGTGGAATGAGCTGAATGCTTGTTGTAGAGAGGTATCAACAGAGCTGGGGATAGTAAAACAAAATATTGTTCATTTCTACATTTTGCTTTGGGCTCACTCCATAGAACTCTGTGAAGCGAATGGAAAGTTAATGTCTATCTTCTTGACAGAAGTCCAAGTAAGTTGGAAGGATCCATTTTTTAAAAATATTCTACAACTTTTAACATAGTTATATGATCTTGATTTACTCACAAAACTGTCAGAGATTTGTTATAGCCATTATGTGTCAACTTTAATTTTTTTACTAGTTGTTTTCCACTGTCCCACAAGGGAGGGAATTTTGGAGAAAAGAACTGAGGGCTAGTTTTTAGTTGCCCATTTGGTGTGAGTCTCTGGATACACAGTGGACTGTTAAAAATAATTTGATTGGGTTTATTTTTCTCATTTTAAGATTCTATAATCTCTAAAGTATCTTCTAGGTCCAAGATTGCCTGACCCCTATGATATCATAACCCATGTAAAGCAATAATTCCTGGAACTTCAGTTGTAATTCAAGTGCCTAGATTTCTGAAAATCTGGTGCCTTCAGACTATTAGCCATATTTAGGACACATTTTACTAATTCTGAAATATTTATTCTTTGTTCAGGAAAATCTATATTAAGGAAATATGAAATCCTTTATACAAGAAAAACTTAAGAATAGAAGCTATAAGCCAGAAGTAAATTAATATCCAAGGAATTTTTATTCATTGACTTTTAATAATCAATAAAAATTAAATGAGGCACTTGAAATTGAACATAAAGAAGAGATATATAGTTATGATTTTACATAATGATAAATACTCAAGTATTAATTAGATATGTGACTGATCATTAACTTCTCTTGAGAGTAAATATGTACATATTATGCGCAAAAGTTCAAACACATAGAGGATCTCTGTCAAGCCACCCCTGCAAATCTGCATGTGTGTATATATATACGTATATATTATATATAGTATATATATATATTTGCCTATGCATAGAAAAGCTCTATAAAGGCACAAAAAATGAATTTAATAGTCACCTTTTGTTTGGTACTTTGATTAAATGCTAAATTTCTTTACAACCCTAAATGAATATAAATTAAAATAAATCATGGCCCAATTTATATACTGGAATTATTTGAGGCCTCTTAGAAATGCTGTTAGAAAAATATCTGTTGGTTAAACCAATTTGCATCTTTAAAAATCATGATGTTTTCCATATTAAAAAAAACAATGGAGGTAAATTCTTCAATTGCTCTTCAGTTATTAACAATTACATCTGTTGATGGCCCATTGCCCTGGGTCTTCAGATGTCAAGGTGATTCCCTGAATCCCGACTGTGGCACCATAGAGAAGAGAGAATGAATCCAGGCCCCTGGAAGGGCAGCCTTGACACAGGTTTGGATGGAAATTGTAAAGGAGTTTCCAGTCTCTGTGTCCAGTGCTCCAAACTGCAGTTACAGAACTAAAATATCTCACATGTGACCTGTCTCCATTTGTAGTTCATGTCATTTATGTGGCCTTTCATCGATATATGTATTTAGATATTACCTTATTCCAGAATGATCTTTAGAAGATCCAGGACCAGACATGCTGGGTTAAAAGTCATGTGTGTTGGTAACTGAGATATAAAAAAGGAGAGGAGTTTGTTAAAAAAGCTGCCCTCTGTGACTCTTACAAAGGGCTGATTGAAAATCAGCTTCAGGTAGCCATGGAGCAAGTGGTTTTGAGTATTTAGACAAGACAGGTGGGTTTACAGTTTTCATCCACAAACAAAATTATGATATTTACACCTTTGTTGAGAATACAGATTTAGAAGTATATTTTTCCTTTCCTTACTGTATCAAAGTGCATGTTTTATACAAGCCAAAAGAGGAAAAGATGGATATAATGAACATCTACGAATTTAAGGGCTAATTAACTTTTGTACCCTTGGACAAACAAACCTATACTGTAACCTAAAGAGAATGGCCTATGTGTGTAATTAACATCCTGTAGAATACTTAACATGCAGGTGTCGGTTTCTATAATCTGTAGGCATGAGAACAAAGCTAAATGGAAAAGAATATGCTTGAGCAGTCAACTTATTTCTTTCACTTTAGTTCTTCAGGAGAAAGCAAAAATCCCCCCCAGTACTGGCTCTCTCTGGTATGATCAGAACCGTTGCCAAGGTGGTGCACTAAAAACCAGAAACAGGCAGACCTGGATTTCAGCCCGACTCTTACGTAGCTGTGAAGCATTAAGGCCCTTTCTGAGCCTTAGTAAACTGAGATAATACTTCGCTCACAGGTTTGTTACATGTAATCTGACATGTTACATGTGTTTAGTACATGGTAACTGTATTCTAACAGGTAGAGCTGATTATTGAAGGCATTAGGTTGGATGACATGACATTGATACTTTTGTAGATAAAACAAGTCCAAATTTCAGACCTTGTTGTAAGGTGTTGCGCTCCTAAGAACCTCAAGGGTGCTGTTACTGTGAAGCCAATGTACGGACGGTCAGATTGCTTGCTGAGTTCGCACTTGGTGGTCATGGACTGCCATTTTTAATCAGTGACTAGTTTACATGCTAGTAAACTAGTAGCATGCTGAAATAACATCCGTCCCACAGGGCTCGGGGATCTTAGACCCCCCCTCCCTGCCACTCCCAGTACAGATAAATATTCTATGTCTTACTAAAGTTAACATATTAAACTCATTGTATTTGAATGGTTACACTTCTGTTCCATGCAACTAAGAGTCACAAGTGCACAGAAGATGGACACGAGCACACTGCTTCACCTGCCCTTCCTAATACTACCAGTAACAAAGACACGCCTGTCTAGACTTTTGGCGATCCATGACTCTTCTAAAGGCTGGATTTCAAAGTGTTTTCCATCTGGTTGATTCCTCTTTCAGTCACTCTCCTTTGCACTTGAGGCAGGCGTTTCCGGAAGTTTCCACTCAGCAGGATGTAGAGAAATGGGTTAACGCTGCTGCTGGCGTAGCTGAGACAGACAGACAGGTAGTAGCCCACATAGAAAGCCAACGTGGGCCGCCCCACCTGTAAGTTCACCAGTTGTATCACATGATAGGGGGCAGCGCTGAGGATAAAGACGGCCACCAGCACGAGCACCATCTTGGTGAGCTTCATCACTCTCTGCTTTGGGACACCGGGATTGTAACTACAAAGAAAACGTTAGGATAGACAGAACATAAACGAGCACAGAAATCATGGGGCAATGATTTCCTAGAACTTTTTGGACAGTTCATACTGGCTATGCAGTAGAAATATGAACTTCGTCTTTATTCCTACTTATTCAGAGCATTGTTAAAAGATTTTTCTTTAATTCTTCTAAAAAATTCCCCAAATTTTCCAAAGCTGGACCATTTTGAGAAACTAAATGCCAAAGTATTGAATTAAAATCTGAAGTACCACACAAATATACATGACTTATACTGACATAAATAAATGATTGAATAAAATGGGAGAGAAGAGACAAACTTTCTTTATAGGAAAATTCCAAATAATATAGGTGGATACTCCCCTTTGCAGGAGGTGGAGCTTAATTTCCACCCACTGCTTTTGCTCTCAGGAGTGGGTCATACCTAGTGACTTGCTTCCAAAGAATAAAGGGATAAGTAGTAACCCTATAGTGGAGAAACTATGGCAAACACCGCCTTAACCACATGGTCATGGCCAACAGCACTGGCGATGTCATGTAGGCATCATGAGCTACCTGATGTGTTGTGATGAGAAGAGCTGATTTTTTTCCCCAAAACATATAACTACAGTCTAATCGTGATACAGTATTGGACAAACGCAGACTGGGGAACATTCCTCAGGATACCTGACCAGTACTCCTCAAGATAATCAAGGCCATGAGAGACAGGGGAAGTTGAGAAACTGTCACAGACCAGGGGACACTGGGGGGACGTGACAAGTAAATGCAGTGTGGGCACCCGGATTGAAACCTGGGACAAAAAGGGGGCTTTAATGGGAAAACTGATGAAATCCAATAAGGGTAGAGCTTCGTTAATAGTAATGAACCAATGCCATTTTCTGAGTAAAGTGTTAGGAGCAAAGTGATCTGATTTAGAAAGCTGACTTAAAAGGGCTCCAGCACCCTCCCCAGCTGCTGGTCTGTTTATATTCTATGTGATTCCAACCTCATCAACTCAGTTCCTGTGATGCATTCAGAAGCTACATTTTTTTCTGTAACTGTGGCTGTTTCTCTTTTCCCATTCTAAGTGGACCACCTTTTAAGAATGCAGTATTTCCAAAGAATTTTAATAAGAATTATAAGGAGCTAATTGGGAAAAAATAGTTATGGGTCAATAGACTACCTCAACCTTTGGAGCCAGGGTTAGCCACAAATTTTGACTAATGGTGGTTAAACTTTTCATCTATTCCTCTTAGTTTAATCATCATCATGTTCTTTATGGTGAGTGGGAAACCCAGCAATCTTGTCTTTCCAAAATAAATACAATAATCTATTCTAGAGACATATTTTAATAATGATTTTTTAGCCCAACATTTTATGTAATCACTGACATACTCATTTGATCAATTTGTTGTAGACAATTTTAAGTACAAAATAATTTACGTTTAGTCATGTGGTTTTAGAGACAAGTATCTTTATAGGTTCTTCCCAAGTTTATGGTCTTTAGGTAAGTTTTTGGTTTAATTTAGTCCTAATTAATCTTGTCCTAAGTTTTCAAATGTTAATGAGGTACTTCTTCTCTAAAGAAAATTAAACACAAAAAATAAAGGTTACACACAACATCTAGGATATTTACATATGTATACAGTTCTGCAAAATGTACAAATAAAATATCTAAATAACATTGATGAGAAATATAAAATTGTTCTTTAAATGGAATACTGAGTTATGTTTACATTTCTGTGAAACCCCTGCATTGGTTTTTTTGGCATTTACCACTGAGAGGTCCTCAAATAGCTGCTTCAGACATGTCTTATTTTCAGAAAATGTCTTGTGCAGACATTACTGCCCATATGTCTAAGTGCGGTGTGTTTCAAGTGATTGTTTGGATTCTGTGGTAGATGTCTTAGGATCTGTGAATTGTTCTTTTAACAAATAAGGCAAGATAAGGTGAAACTTACCACCTGGCATCCTTGTTCTGTTGATACATCTCCCAAGTATAGCATAAAATTAAAATATAGCATACCAAAATCAAGGGCAAAGGGAAAAAAAAAGTTGTTATCGTCAAATAAAGTGTATACCTGTAGAATGAGAGAGAGAGAGAAGGCATGACTATTGCATCCACAATGCTAAGAACTGGCTTCTTCAGTTTATGAGGCATGGTTCTCTGACTTTTCTGGGCCCAGGATTAAAGTCCTTGGTGAAAAGACAAGGCTTTTTGGGTGCTTTCACATAAAGAAGTCCTGCTCTTCATTGTTCACTGACCATGGGGCTTCTCTCTTCAGCCACATCCAACTCTGCTGAGTATGGAACAGGTGAGGTTACTTAACTGTCAGTTTCATCTTCAGTGTTATTAACAATAGGCTACAGCAGGTGGCATTTCTTATCTAGTAGGCAGTGAGGGGAGTGCTTTCCATACTGGAACCCATTGAATCTGTGCAACCCCATGAGTACAGTGCCATTAGTATTCTCACGTTATGGAAGAAACTGAGGCACAGAGAGGTTAAGTGGCTTGTCTAAGGCTCCCTAGCTAGTAAGTGGCAGAGGTGGGATTTGAACCCAGACAGACAGTTGAGCTGCACAGCCTAAGGTCCAGATGGCCTCTCAAAAGGCCTGCTGTAAAATCAGCCAGTCTCTGCCTTGATGCTCCTCCGCAGGGAATTCTCGGGTCGGTTAGCCCCATTGCTGCACAGGTCCATGTGTCCTCTTTCCTGGCAGACCCTGGGCGTGGGTGAGAGAATGCAGCGCAGCTTGCATGCATGTGGACGGGGTGGCAAAGCACCTGGGGCCAGAGGGACTCTGTGCGTAGCACAGTCGTTCCAGTCTCAGTTCACCATGAGGACTTACTTCTAGGATGACCAGCAGAGGCTGAAACCTCAGAGCAGCCGTGATGATAACCCAGCCAAACTAGCAGAAGGAGCTATTGGTATAATGGACTTAACCTTTGTTAGTTTGTTTCTTTGACATAAGCCAAAGTCATGTAGTCATACAGTGAGCCTCAGGGTGCACCCTTCCTGCAGATAGGCTCTATTTATCTAACCCATATTTCTCTATCAGCCACCTACCGATCTGTTCACCTTCAGACAGGCTGATGGCTTTTCTCTGTGAGTGCAGCCAAGGCTGGTGAAGAATTAACAAATAACAAATCAATCCTAGGCTGCTGCACTTCTCTGGAGATTTTTGTTCCTGGATTTGTGGCCTTGCAGGGCCTCTACCTCCATCTCTCTTGGGCTGTGTCCACGTGGGGCAGAAATAAGTCATCTATTTCACAAGTGGTGGATGGGAAAAAGGAATCTGCCAGATTGACCGGAGATAATGCACGCAAGGAGCAACTAGCACGATATCTGACCTTCAGTGGGTGATCGAAAACTTTTAGTCATAGACTCTAATGCTATGCTCAAAATTTCAAATAGAAGCTTTTTGATTTAATTTTTGCTCTATTGGTCACCTAGAGTTGAGATAACAAATCACCACAAACTGGGTGCCTTATAACAGCAAAAGTGTAATTGTTTCACAGTTCTGGAGCCTAGAAGCCTGAACCTGAGGTGCGGGCAGGGCCAGCTCCTTCGCGGGCTCCGAGGAATGCTTTCTCCTAGTTCTGGGCGGTTTCTGACTGTCCGTGGTGTTTCTTGGCTTGTAGACACATCACTCCCATCTCCGCCATCGCCTTCATAGGTGTCCCCCTCTCTGTATATCTCTCCAAATCTCCCTCTTCTTATCAGGATACCATGCACTGGATTTAGGGCCCACCCCAAACCAGTATAACCCCATTTCAACTTCATTAGATGCGCAAAGACCCTATTTCTACATAGGGAGTCCCATCCTGCCCTGATTGCTGTGCCCTCATTGTGTCTGGCTGCCACAGATCTTCCAAATCCATATTTAAGTATATTTGTGCCCACTGAGGTTTCATGATTAAGCTCAAACTCCTTTTTTAAAGGTCACCCTCTCCTTCAAGTCAGTCTATCAACTCGGTTGTGGAAAGCTGAAAACCAAGTGGGGAGACCGGCCCCAGGAGGGTCCCCACGGGCATGCTGCAGCTGCCCACGCACTGGCGAGGAGGATGAAGCCCTTCACAACTTCATTCCACTCTATTTTTCTCAACCTACCAGAGTACGTCCTCAGGGGATGTTAAATCAAAAGCGCAACTCTCGACGCCGTCTTTAAATGTGATGACCTTCGAGTAGACCCAGACAGGCAACGCCAGAATCAAGGAAGCTGCCCACAGGCCCAGATTGACGCGTATGGTCGTGTACCTCGTTCTCCAGCCTCTAAGTCGGAACGGCTGGACGAGGGCCAAGTACCTGCAAAGCCGGCGAAGAAGGGTTTGGGAACAATCAATCAAAGCACCGAGCTCCAAGGATGAGAGGTTCCTGACAAGAGTAAATTATTAGTAGGACGACCTGCCTCTTCTCAGGGCAAAAGAACGTCTGCGTTTATCAGAGCTGGTTGGTAGAGAACACAAGTCTTGACCCAGGCAAGCCTGAATAAACCCCTCAGCGAAAGAGCTGTCACTTCCCCGAGCACTGATCAGGTTACCTGGTTACCTTCTGCATTGCGCAGTCTCTCTTTACAAAGGTGCTTCTCCTCCCTGTACGCAAGCCTCAGGAAAACTGCCTCTGAACAGGGATTTCCTCCAGGAGGAAATGGCCTCTTCCCAGGAGGACTTGCTGATGTGGAGGCAGGAAGGAGGCAAGCGCACTGTCTGGTAGGAGAATCCCCCAGCAAGACGGGATCCGGGTCCTCGGGACAGACATTTTGCTCAGAGGGCTTTACAGGAGGGTCCCCTGGCTCGTGGAGGTTCAGTGCAAATGTGACTAGTGTAGATGATGCAAATGCCCCAGGGGATTTATGCTGGAGGCTGGAGGGGAGGGAAATGGGCTAATTTCATGGGGAAGGGTTTTTCTTTCTTTCTTTTCTATTTTTCCATTTGTGGTCCAGACAAAAGGATAATCATTCATCACACTTGAAATCCTGACATATCAAATATATTTGGTTCACCAGCAAATCGGAAGAGAATTTTTCAGAGCCAGCTGAAAGCTACAGGATGAAAAAGAGAAGGAAGGGTACTTGAGAAAGCGCAGTTTTGCTGGGGGGTGGGAGTGGTGGAGGGCGGTATTCATAGAAATTAAAATGGAAAATAGGTTTAGATGCTTATTTAATTCTTTTCTCCAAGGTTTTGTATTGCTCCTCCTTGAAGATTTATGAAAGTGGGAAATTCCCCGCGCCCTTGCTTTTTCAGGTTTGCACAAGAGGCAGCACATCCTGCACCCCTGTAAGGGACCCCTGGGCCTGCAGGGTGAGGCTCACAGCTCCTTGTGCACGCAGCACCGGCATTACCTGCAGCTGAGAGGAGAAGCCCCTGCACTCCCTGTGGGGAAGGAGATGAGGCAGTGATTGACAGAAGCCCAGCCATCATTCTGTCTGGGATTAAAGGATGATGGAGTTGGGGCATCAGTTGATTAGGGAGTCCTCTCTGATTATATCCCCACCCCACCCCAAATCCCCAGGGGTAAGCCCTTCGGTGGCTTTCCGTCACCCTGCAGGTTACATTCCGAATTCCTAGCCTGACCCACACGGTCTTTCTCCACTTGGCCCTTCCTACCCCTCGGGCTGAAGCTTGTGCCACACTTTCTCTGGGCTCCCCTCAAGCTCCTTCTGCTTTCAGGGCCAGGCACATGCTCTCCTGTCTGCTTGGCAGGATCCGCCTCTGCTTCTCTGGCTCTTCCTTTGAGCCCCCCTTAACTGTCCGCATCTCAGAGGGGCCTCCCCTGACCACTCTCTCTGTACAAGGGCCCATGACTGGAAAGGCAGGTGACAGGGGAACTCTGCTTCTCCTTCCTAGGATGTGTCACTACGTGGCTCGTAAAGTCTGTCCACACCTTTGAAATGGAAGCCCCATGGAGGCCGGAGCCTTGACTATTAAATAGTCTAATGATGCTGGATCTCCTGTGTCTGGCATAGTCCCTGGCATATGGTCCATGCTCAGTAAATATTTGTTGAGTGGATGAATGAACAAACAGGGGTCTTTGCTCCTACTTACTGACTTCTGATGTTCTAGAGAAGTTAATTACAAAAGAGGCCACCTGGGTAATTTTCATCTGGCGGCAAGTATTTCTAATATTTTGTTTGTTTATAAAATTGTTTCTGTATTGCTTTGGAGGTAGAAACCCACTATTTAAATATGCCCCATACTTGCAGTTATTACTAGTCAAAGAAAAATGAGTCATGGGAAGTGCTTGAAATGTATGACTTATTAAATTGGCAATTATAATGATTGAACTGTATAAACAATGAGGCATACTGATGACATGGACATTGGGTTATGGTCTTGCAAAGAAAACTCCACTTCTGGTTGACAAAATTGTAGATTTTGTTGCATTTTTTTTGAATTTAGTAGAGTTGGGCTGTAAGAAATGCCAGGGAGGAAGAGGTTCAGTTTCGTAGCTTCTCATTTGTCTCTGGCCACATGATCCTCTAGAGTGAGGGCTGGGAGAAGGGCACGAGGGTCTGAATCCTAAAGTAATATTTTCACACACTGTGTCCCTCGTATTAAACAAATAGACAAAGGCTATTCAGATGTGTAAGGCATACATGCTCATGCACACATATGCTCCCTAAAAAACCCATGGGACCATTAGGAAATATATATGGTTGGTCTGTTCCAGGCAGATTATGTCCATTTACTTTATTTGCAGTAAGAGGTTTACAAAAGAGATACATTTCCCTTTTTAAAGAAAAAGCCAACACTTTCCTGCCTTCAGGGAGCAGGATAGGAGAAAGCTTTTACTATCTCCAAGGGTGGGCTTAGGATCGGCAATTCCTTACTCACGTTGCTTTTCTGCAGTGGGCATGCTCCATGCACGGCCTTCTCCCTGGTGCCGGAAGCCTGGCACACTCACCAGGCTTTATGCAAGACACTGTCAGCCCTGGCTGGCATCAGCAGAGCTCAGCAGACTCACACAGCACATTGATTAAAACATGGGATGTTAATTATAAATTGAGAAGCACACTCTGTATTTTGAGAATTCTGGTGCAGAAAAGCAACAGGATATAAAAAATGGATCGAACAGTTACCATCATTATTTATGTCTGAATAGTAATGATCCACAAATGGTTTCTGTGAACCTGTTCCTCCTTTGCTTGGCCATCACCTTCCCACCCCAAAGGCCTACTTGGAAGGGTAGAAGGCAGAGTTCAGGAAGCAGTCCTGGATGAGCCCCAGGAAATTTAACCCAGCCTTCAAGACTGACAGCTCTTCATTCATCAGTATTTTTCCAGCACCCACGTGCTGGGCACTGGTAGTTACACAGACACGTGGGAGGTGTTGGCCATCAAAGAAACTGCCTTTGTAGAATTTACATTTGAGGGGTAGGGAAGGCTACACAACAAACAACGCACACATCCACCCACAAAGTAAATGAAATATGTAATATATTTGAAGCAAGGGAGAAAGATAAAGATCAGAGCAAGGGGGATCAAGTGTGCTGGGTGGGGATGAGGTGGGCAGGAGGCGGATGAGATTCTAAGTGAGTTGTTCTCTGAGATAATTCCCAGGGTGGGCACTGCTGCTGTCTTTAGGGCTTGTTTCTGTGTGTGGAATGCTGCAAAGCCCTGGCGTGTAGGTCCTGAGATCTGGATGGTGCAGGGCATGTCTTAGCTTGCCTGCTTCCTAAGGAGGCCGGATGGAGCGAGGTATGAGCTACCCGCCATTTCTCTAGGGACAGCCTGGCCCTGTAAGTCCTCACCAACACCGTCATCTCCTTGAAGGACATTAGCTGACATGGTTGATGAATATGGCTATGGTACATTCCAGGTTACAGTCCAATAGATTTCTAAGGATGTTAAATGGCAGCATTTGCATTGACCAATCATAATGATGTGTGTCAGAGACTTAAGGATGGTCTTCCTGGTACCGGGACATCCCTGCATAGCTGTATAGGAGCCCGTATCTTCTCCACCGATGCCTCCAAGCTGCTAGGTGATACCCAGAGTGTGTGAGACACTGAATATGCAGAAATAGCCCTGGACAGGGAGTGAGGAGACCTAACTCAGCTTTCAGCTCTGCCACTGACTTTCTGTGTGTCATCCGCAAATTCCCTCACTTCTTGAGGCCTCAGTTTCCTTACGGCAAGAGTGACAGGGGCATTCATTCTGACTGCTGACACCTTATGACTTTGAGGTCCTTTAACTTGCAGTGAATTGTGAGTAAAACTGAGGTAAAAAAGAATGCTTAGGAAAAAGGAGATTTTAGTGTTTTAAGTTTTTCATTTTAAAGAAGTCAACTCCTACGAAAGTTGGAAAAAATGTTCAGTAATCAGTCCTATGGTGAAACGAGCAAAGCAGGAGGAATTTTGCTGTTACCAGCAGTGACGTTGCTTAAATTGAAATGAACGTGGGGAGGCACAGGAACATCTGAATTATGCTAAGATATTCGAGAGTCTCTTCACTTACCTGTCCACGCTCATCACAGTCATGATGGCGCTGCAGGCAAACTGGTTGCAGGTATCCAGGGAGGTGATGATGGTGCAGAGAGGCCCCCCAAACACCCACTCCCCTCCCCGGGCCCACTGGTGAATGAGGAAAGGCATTCCAGTGATGTGGACCAGATCAGCCACAGCCAGGTTGCAGATATAAATGTCAGGAACAGTTTTTTTCCTGGATCTGAAAGAAATGGAGGCAAACCGAGGATTGTCATTGAAAATATGCACCTGCTTGCATGTATGGCACTTGATACAAATTTGCAGTTATCAAAAAAGTTTAAAAGTCGAAGGAAGACCGACACAAAGGCACCTATGAATCTTGCGTATACTCAAACATTTTGGGCTATGTATCTGGTAACTGGAGGGGGTTTAAAAATATGTTCACAAATTCTTTGCTACTGCTTTCCAAGGGTCGGGCTGGATCATACGGTAGGTCTATTTTTATTTATTTTTGAGATCTGTCCACATGGCTTTCCATGGTGGCTGCAGCAATTTACACTCCCATCAGTGCGTAGGAGGGTTCTCTTTTCTCCACATCCTCGCCGACACATGTTATTTCTTGATTTTTGAATAGTGGCCATTCTGACTGGTGTGAGGTGATATTTCACTGTGGTTTGATTTGCATTTTCCTGATGATTAGTGATGAGGAGCATCTTTCATGTGCCTTTTGGCCATTTGTATGTCTTCTTTGGAAGGATATCTATTCAGGTCCTCTGCCAATTTATCAATCAGGGTATTTGTATTTTTGGTGTTGAGTTATATGAGTCCTTTATATATTTTGAATATTAGCCTCTTATGGGGTATGTATTCTCCCATATATATCACAAATGTCTTCTCCCATCCAGTAGGTTGCCTTTTTGTTTTGTTCATGGTGTCCTTTGCTGTAGAGAAGCTTTTTAGTTTGATGTAGTCCTATTTTTGCTTTTGTTTTCCTTGCCTGGGGAGGTGGGTCAGAAGAAAATTACTAATGCCAGCATTCAAGAGTTTGCTGCCTACGTTTACTACTCCTAAGTTTTATAGTTTCAGGTTTTATATTTAGGTCTTCAATCCATTTCGAGTTTCTATTTGAGGGCAGAAATTTAAATTTAAAATTCAGTTGGTTTCTATCTTCAAGAAGTTGGGACATTCATTATTAAACAAGAATCACCTCTATCTGGGAGATGCTATTCACTAATTCAACAAACTTTTTATTGAGCACCAGGTACATGTCAGTGTGGGTAAAACTGCATTATTTCCAGAATCTCTCGTATGGCCTTAGTGCATCTCCTTATCAATAGGTGATTACAAGGTGTGGGGAGAGAAAATGAATCTCTGGACCGGAGAGGTTTGGTGGGGTCTTTTTGCAGCTGGGTCATGAGAGACACAGGCGAGTAGAAGTAGATGACTGCTTGTAAGCAATAAATGGGTTTCTCCCACTTTATTTCTCCCTTTGACCAGTTTTGGCTTTAAAGGTTATTTGCCCCAGGCTGGGAACATATTTTCCCCCCCGAGTTACACTCAGGCATAATATTGTGATCTGGGGATGCAAAGCTAAATAATCTAAAGAACATAACATCAAGGAGCGTGCAGTCTAGACATGTGTAAATAAAGGATCCCATTATAATACGACAAGGGAAAGCTGGAGCGAGCTCTGGGATCGGGGAGCACGCAGGCAGGACCCCTGCCCCCTCCCCTGGGGACGGTCAAGGCAGATTTCTTGACAGAAGTGGCATCTGAACTGAGGAGAAAGGAGGATTTAAAAAGCACCTAATAATTAGCCCTAAGATTGCACCACAATTGCCAGCTCACTGTGGACCCAGGACTAATGCCCTGTGGTCTGGAAGCAAGTGTGTCTTTGTAATTCATGGGTTCCAAATCTTGCAGTGCATGCACTTCATTTCTAAGCCACCAGATCCCCATGGGAGACAGTCTGGGCACGGATATTTTACCCAGGCCCTGCCAACACATGCCGTACGGGGAAGTCACACCCCCAAGTTCTAAACTCAGCAGCCAGCCTCTGGGTATGGTCGACGCCACTGCAAAGCAGCTTGGTTCCTTGTCCCCAGAATGTTGTGGCTCATCTCAGACAGACCGGGAAGGAGAGGAGACTTGAGGAAAAGACTGTCAACCAAAGTGACTGTCCTTGGGGTCCCATCCTCTGTCTTTTCCAGGCCACTGGGAGCAGGAGATGGAGAAGGGCTAGGAGAGGGGAACAGATACTAGAGGGCAGGGAGAAAGAGGTCCACATTAAAGAAAAACAAAAGCAAAAACACAACAATAAACCCAACCATAGTCCTCAGGCTATAAATAGATGTTATTTCCAGTTGAATTGGGATATAACCATAAATGGTTGCTTAGGTTCTAATTGCAGCAATTAGATTCGTGGCCCTGGACCTTCTCTAGACAAGCACCCATCATTTACTGATAATGAATTATGGTAATTCCATTGTTGAGGGCGGTGTGGGCCATTAACTGGCAATTAAAAAGAATTAAGTAAAAGTGCTCCTACATGATTCTGTATAGGAAAAGGAAATTCTGAAGCAAATGATCTATTTATCCGGGCAAAGGGTACCGGGGCAATCAAAATAACATTACATTTAGTTTTGCTTTCTTTACTGAAAGGGACAGCATAGAAATTAAAAAATAATTAAGCAGAAATTATAAAATTTCTAACTCTACAACTATGCATTCTTTTTTTAGATCTAATTTATCTTCAGATTTCCCACTGACAGACTTCATTAGATTTTGGTTCCTCATGACTCAAACTTTTAAAATAAAAAATTACTGGTCATCATTTCAGGTATTGTATTTTCCGTACAGTTAGCCATATCTAATGGTCACTAACTGGAAGAATGATAAAATAAATGATGGTACTCCACAATACCATACAATAAATGATATAGCAGTTATAATTCATAGTTTGCAAGAATATTTCATCAAATGGGAAAAATACTTACTAAGCAGTAAGTCCCAACTATAGAGACAGCATGACCTCAAATGTTCATGCACATTTGTTTAAAAATATGCTGGAATGTGGAATATGTCAAGTGCTCACAATGATGATTCGCTTGGTAATAGCAGTATGACTGATTTTTATTTTATTCTTTGTATTTTTTTGTCTTCAAATTTTTCTATTAAAAACAGGTTTACTTTTTGCAACCAGAAACAATAATAAGTGCTATAGATTAAATAAAACTAACAAAACATGTCACGCCACAGGTGCAGGAGGCGGCTTTGTTGATGGCTTTGCCCTCAAATCCGTTCCCCAGCCTTCCCCGGTGCTCTTGCTAAGTCTCCAACTGTGGCCAATAGGAAGCACTCCTGGGGGCAACTGGAGAGAGGAGAGGAGAGGCCGGGGTATTTCCTTGTCCTCTCTGCTCTGGGTTTCTTGGGCAGTGGCTGCATCCCTTGCATGGCTCCACCTTCCTAGAGCGGCCGCCACTCCATGGTCCCACCTCCTACTGCGGCTGCAGCTCCCACCAGGCAGCCCCAACTCCTGGGTCCCTGATACCGCCTTCTTCTCTCCATCCAGCGCAGGGCCAGGAGAGGGGTGGTCAGGTCGGGTTGGGGTGGGGAATGGTTGTAGGACGAGGTGATAGCTTCCTGCTTTTCTCTCTAGGGTGCTTTGCAAGCCCCTGCTGGCATTTAACTGTAGTTGAACTAAATTGCTGTTGTGAGCCAAATTCAGTGGGTTGGAGGGTGTTGTGAAGCATGGTGCTGAGGGGAGTCCTCAGACGGGCACTACTACAGGGCGGATCAGGCGGAGTTGACTGCCGAGGATGGGAGAGGCTAGAGGGACACTTGGCAGTGATGCTCTAGGTACATCGTGGAACACAGTGGAAAGAGAGCCTAACGGGCCATCCTACTTTCACTTCCATGCCCTCATTTACTGTGTCCTTGGGCAAGACATTCAACCCCTTCAGATTCAAGGGTGGTCTCGGTGCATTGCATGATGGGTCTCCCGCCAACTTCCCAATTCCTGTGAACACGTGAGCCTCTGCAGCGTCTAAAACAAAGGGTCTGTGGGCAGCAAGGGTGTGGGTCAACCCCAACAAGAGCCTGCGTGTGGTTGACACCTTGGGAATGGTAGCAGGCTGGGTCAGAGAGCCATTGATCATGATTTAAGCTGGGCAGAAAAAAGGAAGAAGCCTTGTTCAAAGGATTTCCTCCGCCTGTCTGTCTTTGCAACTATTATTCCACCATTAGGCCTTAGTGTTCCTTTGGGTTAACACACTGACCCTCTTGTAATCTCAGCGTAAGAAGTATAAACTGGGAGGATTAAAGTAAGGCATTTCAATAATTCATGAGTTGTGTGATTAGTCATCTTGACAGGGAGTTGAGAGCAGACAATAACAGAATGGGAACTTTATATTTATTGGGAGACACTCAAAGCGGTCTGCCAGTAGAAGGAAAAGGGAGTGTTCAGGAGGTGGAAGTGAGGAAATGATGGAGAACAATGTCACCTCCTTTACTGAAGGAGTTTCCCAGGCCCGGTGTGGCTGTGAAGGAGAGTGGAGTAATGGGGTGAGTTCATTAGTCTCCTTCTAAAGAATAAAAGGGAAAAATATCTTATAATCAGCCCAGTTTTCCTCTTACATTTTCTAACCTGGCTTTCTTCTGACCTGCCCTAAACTTAAAATATGATAGACAGGTCATGATCTGGCCTCACTACTTTATACTCACCCTCCTGATGCCCCATCTTCCTTAAACCTATTTCTTCCTACATGTTTCTAGTCTTCCTTTGACAAAGTCAGAAGTTAGCTCATTGTTTGCTTCCCAGCATCACTAATGTTCTTACTGACTTTTAGTTCTATGCATCCTCTGCTAATATGAGTATTGATCAAAAATGGCAAAGTCACTAAATCTTCTTTAAATGTATCTATTACTCCTTATTTTTAGTGTACTCTTAGTGTTTGAATTGAGCCACCCATCTGTTAGAAAGTTAACAGAAGACCGTGGCACAAGGCATGATGAAACTGTTACTACAATTGCTTTGAAAAGTTGGGAGGTTATTTTTAAAAAAGTGTTAAATTCCAAGCCAAACAAATTAAAATGAATTCGCTTTCAAATGAACTTTGAGAGATTAATAAATTTTTGGAGGACAGTTTGAAAAGAAAAGAAAAATAGCAATACAAGTAAAAATTAAGTTTGCTTCCAAATGTTTTTGAAAGATTAAAAGATTGATCATAAAATCTCCGTAACATCTACCTTCTCACATATTATCTATAAAATAGTAATAATGTGAAGAAATGACAGATTTTTTGCAATCACTGCAAACAGATTGGTCAGTGTGATGGCTCAGGTTTTCTTTTGTTTTCCAGTTAAATGATTATTTGCTTTATGTTGAGAATCTGTTCTAGGCATTATAGCTCTGTATCGACTTTTAGAAGAGTTCTCATTGCATGTTTCTTCCTTTTTCCAGTTTTGTCTCCATATGAATAGATGAGATTAGGTCCTTGTCTCCTGGTGTCATTTGAGGGGGACCAAAAGGTTTCTCTGACCCCAAATATCTCAGCAGCTTGTCACAGGGCCTGAAATCCAACCCTGAAGAGTCTTTGCATATAAAACTTGCATAAAAATGCAAGCATTTCTGCAGAACTAAAACCTTTAGAAGGACTTGGTTTCTCAACAGTGGGAATGTGTTGCATTTTGGATGTTTGTACAACGGATGTGGCCCATGCTATATATATCTTTTGGAGAGGATGGCAAAAATACTGAGGGGTGGGAGGGAGAGATGGCAGAGAGGTGGGCAGGTGCAATGGGCAAATGGGTGGCTAGAAACATCCCATGTCTCTCACCATTAGTTTTCTACTGGGCACTGTTGTCTCCTTGAAGCTTCCAGAGAACATTTGATTGCTTCCATTTCCCTTTCTGGAACTCACTGAACCACCGATTTAACTTTTTTCACTTGATTGTGTTTAATGTGTTGCATTATTTTTCAAATTATTTTGTGTGTTTAAATCTTATCTTCTCTACTAGACTATAAACTTTTTAAGGTCAAATGCTGCCATATTTCTTTGGTATTTTCGTAACTCCTAGGAGAGTGCTGGGCATGCAATAGGTATTTAGTAATATATATTGAGTTGAACTGCATCCAGCACTTAAAAAATTCATTTAAAATGCTTCATATTCACAAATGGTTTTCCAGGACACAGTAATGTACACGTGAGTAGAATTCCCATGTACTAAAAAAATTCATCAAGAGTAGAATTCCAATGCACTAAATCAATCTTCAATTACACATGGTGTAAAAAAATGCCACTGATACAGTACACTGCAGATTTAATGGCAATAAAAAATTGGAAAGTGGGGTGCTGATGAGAAGCCACCTGGGGAAGTGAGGAGTTATGAGCTTTCTTGGGGATGCTGAGCATTATCACATCTCTATCCTGAGGGCTGCTTTTGCTCTTAGTTGGTCCTGTGAGGATTCTTCTATCCCCAGGGTAAATCCAACCATCTTTCTAGTTTTGGTGATTTGTTTTCATTAATGGGGAGGAAATAGCCTGGAATTTTGAATCATGGGATCTACGTGCAAGTGCCAGGACTGTCGCATACTCTCTGTTGATGCTGAACAAGTTATTTTCGGTCTTGAGCCTCTTCTTTCAAGGGGTATATATAATAATAGAGTACATATAATATAACATGTAGTATATACATAATGATAGAGTATAACAATAGTACTGCTGTTCTGAGAATCAAATGACTTTACAACTGTGCTTTGTGAGCATAATGTGCTACACAAAAGCTTTGTTGTAGTTATGTGTTAGCATAATGCTGAAAACACTTAGTAGGTAGTATGCTAGCTTGTGGTTTGTTATATATAACTATGGACACAATTTTTTTTTAGGCACAGTTATAAGTATGATCAGAGACCAGGACAAAATGAATTTAACATCTTGATTAAAACAAGTAAAACAAATGTGAAAACAAGAGAGCGAAGATAGCAAGTAGTGATGAGGCCCACGTACACTAACTCTGAACTCATTTAGTCAAACCCATAGAAAACAAGTAAATCTGTTCTCATTCTCCAGGTTAAACTTCACGCTCTAGGTCTGAGAAGGAGAAACTTAATCTGGATGAGGAGGGAGGTGTGAAGCAGAGACAGGCAGTACCAGGGAGCAGATGCGTCCTAGGTTAGCCCACACGGACTACATGGAGGGGAACAGCCCATCATCTATGACCACCTGCAGCTTTGGGTGATTAGGTGGAGCCTCTCGCCCAAGTGAGTAGAAAAGCATCTCACTGACCAATCAAACCAGGTCTGCTTCTTGGAAGAACTCTTCACTGCCAGGAAATAAAATGTTACATTGCATTTTCAATCCTTGCCTAGTCTCCACATTCAGATATCCTGAGTTAATTGGTGTGGGGGGAAACTGTGCATTTGGAGTTTTAAAAGCTGTCCAGGTGATTCTCATTAAGTACCTAATATTGACAATTGCTGCTCTAAAAATTCACTAACCCAGCAGTAAGCACTGGCCTAGGTCTTCTCCTTTTGAGATCTGCAATGCAGAGGTGACTTAATACATGATGAAAGTATCTCTCGAATCTTCTTTCATGATCTCAAGCTAGTATTTCCAAAGCCTGATTTCATTAAGAAAAAAACGCCCTGGGGAAAAGGATTTGTTTGGGGAGTATAGAATGTCCCCAAATTATGGAAAAGAATAAGGAGCCCTTACCTTGTTATAGTGAATACAATGAGAATGTTGCCAACCAGCCCCGTTGAGCAGATCATTCCGATCATGGAAGGGAAGATGACTCTATCCACAACGCTGAGGGTTTGATAAGCAAACTCTTTATTCCAGGATTTGTTCAAAAGTTCAGCAGAGGTATTCCCACCGGATGAATGAAGTGAATTCATTTTCGGGAACTGCCAGTGGTTACAGCTGTGAAGGAATTAGGAAGTGGTTTATTTAATGAATTTTTGAGGCAGTTCCCTCAATACAGATTTTCTTTAACTTAAAGTTAACGTAACTGTAAAAAAAAAAAATCTTTGGGCTTTCTTTGCACCAGGAATCTGTGCAACATAAGATCTAGGGTGGGTATATTGCTCCCTGTCCATATGATCTCAGATTACCAGAGATAATGTACACAGCAAATTACGGAATGGTGTACACTCCTGCAGCGTGCACACGCTGTCACTCCTCTTTGTAGCAGAGGCTTTCAGCATGACTGATTTTTACTCAGTACATGCTGGCACTGGTTGTTGACCGCTGGCATCTGCTTTTATGGTTGTGTGTCTAATTGTACTGGCCAGTACACTTGTAAGACAGAGGTTGCTCAATAGATCTCCGATATAAAGTGCGGGGGGACAGCACCTCTGCTTGCTTAGGAATGGGGTGGGATAGGAATGGGACTCCCTAAGATAAAATTCCTTGTTGAAGAATGATGAAGAGTCAGCTCAGTAAAGGACAGTGTAGGGAGGGAGAAGTGTTGTAGCCAGTGAGGGTACCATGTAGAAAGTAGGATATGGCACAGGAGAAAGTGCCCATCAGTCAGCCTAAAACGAACAAGCAAACAAACCAAAGAGAACTGAGAAAATGTTTGCTCCCCCAATCATTTTGATAAAAGACATGTTAAAAATGCCATCTAAGTCTTGTTTCTGGTGATGGTAAACTGGGTAACTCAGGTTAACCATCCCACTGAAATAATAGAATATGCTGGATAGAATGTATGTATGTATGTATATGTACGAATGTGTGTGTATGCGCGCGCGTGCACGCGTATACATCAATTTAAAAGTACTCAGGATCTGAAAAGTTAGCGGCCTCTCCCTGGCCACTTTTTGGATGAAATCCTGTAGCTGGGAGGTAAGCAGGGGTGCCAAGGCTGTCTGTCCAGAAAGCACCTATTGATGCCACAGCCATTTGAGCTTGGGTCCCACGTCTTAATCAGGTGCAAACGGAAGTCATGACCTTCAGCCTCCTGAGGGTGCCAAGTTTTAGTCATACAAGATGACGAACTTCCACAGATCTGCTGTGCAAACATTGAGCTTACTTAACATTCAAGATTGTACTGTTCACTTAAAAATTTAAGAGGCTTGACCTCAGGTTACGTGTTTTTTTTTTAACAGAATAAAGAGAATATGTGAGAAGAGAAAATGGCTGTTTGAGAAATGTGACAGAGTGAATGTTTCATATTATAGATGGAATATTCTGGTCATCTGGTAGCCAAATGGTAAAATACATTCACAAAAAATAAGAAGTAACATGAAAATTGAAAAAGAAGACATATCAAGATAGTAAAAAGGCAGGCCTCACAGGATATTTCTAAGACAGATAACCAACAAAAGGCTCTTGTTCAGAATATATAAAATATGTATACAAACCAATAAGAAAAACATAGACAACTCAACAGAAAAAGGGTCAGAGACTTCAATAGGCATTTACAAAACAGGTATCCAATAAATATTTTTTAAGGTATTCAATATCACTGGTGATAAGGAAAGGGCGAATTAAAACCATACTGGGACACCTATCAGATTGGTAACAAAAAAAACCTCAAGTTCGTGAGTTCCAAGTGTTGGCAAGGAACTAGAGCCAGAGAAACTCCCAGGACCACAGCAGGAGAATGCAAACTGATGCTGTGGAAAATAGGAAAGCATATTGAAGTCGGATAAATATATACTATCCTATAACTCAGAAAGTTTCCCTTGGTGGGATATACCTATGGTCACACATGTTCATAGGTGCCAGGATAAGTGCTCCAGAATGTTTACACAAATATTATTTTAAATGTCTTAGAATGAAAATAGTCAAAGTGCTCATTAATAATGGGATGGGCTGATTGTGATATATTCAACCATGAAATGTTGCATAACACTAGAAGGGAACAGAAGATAAGTGCACACAATAGCATGGATGAATCCAATAACTTAAGGTGAGGCACAAAGCAAAACTTCATATGCCAGGAGTCCATTTATATAGCATTGAAAAACACAGGCAGAAATAACCTATCTTATTAGGGATACATATAATAATGGTAAATATATGAAGAAAAGCAACGAAGTGACAACTGGAAAAGTCAGATTGGTGGCCACTTCTAAAGAGAGGGTTTTACGGATGGCTTTGTGGGTTATAGTAACAGTAAAAATAGTTTTTCAAAAGCAGTCTGACATTTGACCATACAGTTTCAAGGCAATAATCTAGATCTCCATTCTTTCTGCTTTATAAATACTTAGATTGCTCTTACTTTTCCTACTCTGCCTCTGTTCTCTTTTACTTTCTGTTCAGTTATGTCAAACTTTATAAATCAGCTAATACAAATGTTAACTCTCATCATATTTGTCTTATGCTGAAATTCAGTGCCAAAATGTATGCAAAAATTTAGCCAAAGGATCATTGTCAGGCAAAATATTTATATGTGACTGACTGGCTGACCTCACCAAAGAATTTCATACAGAGGAACATTGATGGTCAGGAACCTCAGGTTGTTTTAAAAACATGTGGCTATTTGAAAAAGTCAGGCTGATTTATTTATTTCAATTTTCATTGTTGTTTAGGTCATGAAAACCAATGTTTAAGAGGGATTGGAGGATATATAAAAATGCAGTGTTTAAGATAAGAGATAAATTGAACTTTTTTTTTGTTATCATTAATCTACAATTACATGAAGAACATTATGTTTACAAGTCGCCCCCACAAACCCCACCACAGTCACTGTCCATTAGCACAGCAAGATGCTGTAGAATCACTACTTGTCTTCTCTGTGTTGCACAGCCCTCCCCGTGACCCCCCCATTATATATGCTAATTGTAAGGCCCCCTTTCTTCTTCCCCCTTCCCCCTCCCTTCCCACCCACCCTCCCCAGTCCCTTTCCCTTTGGTAACTGCTAGTCCATTCTTGGGTTCTGTGATTCTGCTGCTGTT